AGTCAGAGAGAGAGAGAGAGAGAGGTATGTGGACTGTGGACGCAGGAAAAAGGAAAACTCGCGAGAAAACAGTGCATGGAAATGAGAGATCTCGGCGTACGCGCGAGTACGGTGTTGCTTCGCGCCGATTTATGTTTTCTCGATCTACGAGTAATAATAACGATTGGAGAATTTTTTTTTCTTCTTTTAATCGCGTCGTATTATCGCGATATAGAAGGCTTCGATATTGTAATAAGACGAATGAAGAGTTTTCGATGGCGCGCGAGAGAATTTTTCATTAGCTCCCTCGTAAGAAGACGCCCGAGATGCTCGAGGTAACGGGACTGTAGAGAAATACTTTCGCGATAGCTTTTAGGATCGTTTCTTTCGTCTATGGACACTTTTACGCGCTCGTTTTCGACGTAATGTAGAAAACTCTCCGATGCGGCTAGAGGCGCTATTAAAGGATGGCGTCCATTGTCGGGATCCGAGGATAAAATTACGACATAAAGCAGGTTCAAATGTGATTTCGAAATATTTTATCTTTCTCCAGCGGTTCTTACACTTACTTTCCGGAATCAAATAATTTTAACCGACACGTAACAAAACGTGCGAGAAAGTTAAGTTTTTAAATGATCTCTAATCGTTTTATAAATGTGTAAAGATTTTTTTGAAAATTTATAATTAATTTCTATTTTATCATAATGGAATAGCAAATTCCTTGTTCAAAAAAAATTCAGAAAAATCGACAAAATGTGCGAGAATTTTCATACAAATTTCAAATTAATATCTCGATAATAAATGACAGAACATTTTTTTTTTTTAATTTCTATCAGATATTTAAATTCCACAAAAATTCGAATATTGTTTTCAATAATCGTATTTGAATTGCACGATATCTGACGGAACGGAGAAATATATATATATATATCGCTGTCAATACGTGTAATAGAACACTAAACGCTAGTAACGCGTGCTCCCGGTCAAATATTAATTAGACTCTTCATCAAACGCATTCGGGGGAGATGAATGCGCTCATCGAAGGTCGCCGCCATTGAAATAACATTTTCCGGCGGTGATGAGACAGCCTCGCATATATATATATATATATATATGTATGTACATATATATACGCTCGAGCAATTAATTTCTGTCACGATCACGATGGCGTAAGCAACCCGTACGTATATGAACGCGCGCGGAAGACACGTGTTTATACGTGCATTCTCGCGAGAGACGCAACGCGAAAGACGATAATGCACATGCGTCGTTGCGATTCGTACACTCGAATAATACATACACTCGTGCATTAATTTACACGCACGTGCTGCGTGTAATCGCGACGCATCCCGGCTGGGTGGCCGAGCCAAATAACGATGAATCGTCGTTCGGTGCGTACAGCGAGACATATCTATATACACACACACACACACACCATACGTACCCAGACGGACAGAAACGTACGAGCAACGCATGGAGAAGGTCCACGGCATGCATGTGCCAGATGTATATGTACATATCCGAGGGCGCAGGTGCCTCTCGGATGAAAACTCAACCGGAATGGCCCGCGAGACGCGTATCCGAGATGTACGCGATCGTCGCGGGCACATTTTGCGATGGGACAGCATATTCGCTATTAAAAAATATTATGTGGTCCACCATCGATACGCGGGCCTATACCTTTTCATTTCTCTCTCGCCGAAACCAATCCCGAGGTTGATTGCACCGAGAGTAATTAACCAATATGAATATTCATGCGAGATAAAGCACAAATATGAGAACTTTATCGTGTTTCAAAATGATTAAATTTTTCAGTGTTACATATTATTGAAGAATTTGAAGGATTTTGTGCACGAGAAATTGTAGATGATTCGTTAATGTAGTTTTTTTCTTTTTTTTTTTCTCGAAAAATTTATTTGAAAAGTAGAATATTTATTCAATCTTCTAATATAACTAATGAGCAATTTCTGATCGATGTATTGATACGACTAATGAATCGCGGAAAAATATTTATTTCTAAATGAAATAGAGAAAAAACGCATAAAGGTGACATACTTTTCACACTTATTCTGCGAATATGTTTGGATGTAATAGTATTCTCTAACAAGATAATTAAATGCGGTTAGCGTCTCATTATCGACTCCTCGATCGTAATTCTAGCTGCAATGTGAATAGAGAAAGGAAATTCAGCTCATTATGGCGAACCCTCCGGTATTCCGGAGCCATGCTATCGTAATTCATGACCGCTCATACTTTCGTCACCCTTATGCATTAACGCTGCCACTGTGGGAGATAGATAGATAGGTACTCGCGTATATTTTCATGTAAATATATCGCGTAGTATCATAAAAGCAGCTTATATATAATCTTGCAAAATATACATGATTACTTAAAAAAAAAAAGTGATCTGTTTTAACTACAATTTTTTAAATCTTAATTCTGTCAAAATATTAATCTATTTTTTGGTACAATCAACCCACAAACATTCTCTCGCGTAATAACACGCAACATTTCTTTTTATTCGCGTTTCCTTGAATAATCCGACACGAGAAACTATCTCGCGCGAATCATCCCGCGATTATATATCGGATGCTCGAATGTTTTCGCTCGACCAGCGCCCATCGGAGAAATCTCAGCAGTTATTCATTCATTCCGGACAGCTACATCAATACACCATTATCGTGCGATCATGCGATTTGCGATACGATCACAGGCGAGTCTACGCAACACAACATCTACAACGCACATACATAAATCGCTCGCGCACATCCCCACGTGCAGGGGGAGGATATTTATTTTTATTACACACATCGCACACACTACAATGCCACAAAGACAGAGGATAGACTGCAGACGTTTCAAAGTATATCATGCAACGCACGCAAGTACGCACGCGAAGAGCGCGTGCGATATCTCGCATGCTGGACCGGAGGGCGGTGCGATTTTATACTCGCCGGTCTTGGGGACTCGTGCATCTTTTTACTCGCGCCTTACGTGTGCATCCGACGGCCCCGTCGCGAAATCCTTTTTTTTTATTTTTTTTTATTTTATTATTTCTCTCGCGTTCCCGCGGGATTTTTTCGCGGCTACGCGACCACGTAATCTGCGTTTCCCGCGCAAAATTTCTCTCTCGCGCGTTCCTGGATTTCGTATCCTCGGTGACGTACGTTTTTTTTAAATATTGACACGCTTCTATGCATGCTGCATTGAATGCAAAATTCAAATGCCCACGGAAGATTTATTCGAAAAAGTATCTTAAAAATTTCCAACAGTTTACCGACTAATATGAGCATCAAGTTCGAAGTCTACATTTTTATCTGTCTTATCATTGCAATTTTTCATTTTATTCCGTGAATCTAAAGATATATATATATATCCCGAGTAAAATTTTAAATCCTTACGCTGTAAGGAAATATGACATGAATATAAAATTAAAGAATGTCTTTTTATAGCAAAGTTTAAATTCTATATGTTCCTTTCGCATCAAGATCTAACATAAGTTGCAAGTTTCTCCAGTGCACTTTAAACATTTCAATACCGTGAAACGTGTAATTGAAAAAATGTTCAGCATTCAACATTTAATAAAATCATGTCTTTCGAGTGACAAGACGATACTCTGTGAAATTAAAGTGGAAGCTGCCGCACACCTAGCTAAGACGCGAACGGATGTACGAAACAAGAAGGGAACCGGTTCCCTCTCTTCCTCTCTGAAAACAATATGGGATATCGTGCTACTGGCACTTCCAACTACATACCGTTGCGTCTCCGATCTTTCGAGAAATATGAATTTCGACAAGTAGTAGCAGCAGCCAAGAGAGCTAGGCCGTGTTTGCCTTTCGCGACAAAATTTACATTCGCCCGAGAAGTGGATATCGCGAGACGCGCGAATTCTTTTCTCCCGCGACCTTTTCAGGTCTCTCTTTTCGCATTACGATCGATTGCCCGAGATGGTATATATACGAGATGCGCGATAACTCGTACACGACCCCAATAAAGAGAGAAAGACAGAGTGGAGAAAAAAACAGAGAGAAAGAAAAAAAGTGAGAGGAAGATGGCAAAAGAACGGAGGTATCGAACCGTAAAGTAAAAGAGTGGTTGTTGCAAGGGGTTCTGGAGAATCTCGCGGATGTCGATATCTCGCGCGAGCACGGCGGATCCCCGACAAGATGGTCGTGTGTATTTTTTTGTTCTTTCTTTCGAGTTTTTCAACAGCGTTACAACGGCTTCCTTCCGCCGCGCTTGCGCCTCATTCGTTTCTTCCTGCGAACGAAGGGTGCTCGTGTGTTGACAGGCTCTCGCGCGAAATACGCGTAGTGATAAAATTCCGTGGTTAAGTTAGAAGTACGTGTGCTTTCTCTCTCTCTTTTCTCTCGGCTCGATTACCCGACCGATAAATAAACGTTCCCGACCCTCTCTCTGCGCGCGGTTGTCGCGGTGGCGGCCGAGAACTAAGTTCGCAATCTCGGAGAAAGGGGGAATTAAATCACCCCGGGGATTCTCCTCCGAGGTGTAGAAACTTTTGCGATTTCTTTGCGAGCGCGACAGCTCGTTTCAACGGTGCATTTTCTACTTTTGCGCGCAAGTTTAGGATGTTGTAGAATGTGCGAGAAAGAGAGAGAGTTTCTCGTAGTAAATGTTGATAAATGAAAAATAAGTATAATAATAGTATATTGTGTATCAAGTGCGGAAAGTTGACAATTGGTCACGAGTGCGGGGAATGGACGCACGAGCCGAAGGCGAGTCGATACACACGATATTTTGTATTACAAGTGCAGGCAAAGTGGCTTTGTACGCGTTTTCTGTGCGCGAGATGGCTGATCGCCATCTTGCGACGGCACGGTGCGGGAATAGCCGCGTTCAAAGTCATTGCCCACGGCTTCAGCCGTGGGCAATGACTTTGAACGCGGTGCAGCCGTAGGCAATGGCTTTAAATGCGGCTTATTCACTCACCGCATCGCCGCTAGATGGCGACGTGGGAAATCGGCCGCTTTCCGCACAGAAAACACGCACGCAAAGTGCCACTTTGCCTGCACGTGTAATACAAAAATATATATTCCAGTTTATTTTTTCGTTGCGATTCTTTTCTGGCGATTTAAGTAACGTCAATGTAATCGAAGAAGTGGAATTTGGAAAAATAAGTTACAAACGATTGAATAACGATATATACTCTTTAAAGGACTATAGCTTTATTTTTTCAAAAGCTTATCGTTTAAAAGCTCTTGCATAATTCAAACCGAGCACCATTCTTCGAGGAATCGACGATAAAGGGCAAAGGAATAGGGAGCTCCAGAAGAGCAGGCGCACTTACTTTCAGTGGTATGATGTTCTGCGCTGAGATATTAACCCCTTTCTCCTGAAGATCCTAAAAGTAGGTCAACACTACGGGTAAAAAAACCAAATCGCTACAAGACAAAACAGGGGGAGGGCTAAGGGGAGAGGTGTGTGATCTTATTCGGGCGGGAAGCGTGTCGAGGGTCTCTATGAGGACTCTTTTTCTTTTGGTTTCAAGGGGCGAGAATAGACGGAAGGGGACGGGTTCTCGTATTTCACTGCTCTTCCGAATCCAAGGCATGCCCAGAGATATACCTAAATACTGTAACTTAAAGTAAACACCATTACCAACCAAAAACCAAAGTGAGAAAGCGCGTCGCCGATAACATCGATCGTCATTCGCTCCTTTTATTTCTCCTTATCTCGGTCGTGTATAACACAAATATTTGTCGACACAGTCTCGATTATACGTGAGCTTCTTCTTACTTACCCTGTAACAGTGTATACAAGTCTCTCAAGGCAATCCGAGACTGTAATTAAATCAGAATCGAGAGATATCGGAGGAGCTGAACGAAGAAAAAGGATTCATTCGACGATCGAGTATATCGACGGCGCGCTTTATCTTGTATAAACCAACGAGAGAACGCTACACCGAAAGCACCGCACGAGGCAACGACTAGCTAGAGAACGATTGGGACGATTGGGATCCGACCTGTCGCGCATCCGGGATTGTATGCGACGACTGCGCGGATTTCCTGCACGCGGAGCACAAAACTGACAGACAGAGATGGTATAACAAAGGGAGTAGATTAGGGGGCGGATAGCCAGGGGATGGGTGAAAAGAAGAAGAGAAGAAGCAACGACGACAAAATACTGTGACAATGATGAGACGAGACGGGAGAAAAAACAGCTGGGGTGGAGGAGATCGATCGGGAGGAAGGAAAAGCGGAGAACGTCCGTCCGGATCGCGACACCGAGAATCGTGTCGCGCCTTCCGAGGAGGAAAAGGCCGGTTTACCTTGAGGGCGACGATTTCCGCGTAGCCGAGCGTCCCGCCGCGGAGCGTCGTCACCGACCTCTTTAACCCCAATCCCTGTGCATTGACCCGTAGGCGAAAAAGGCAAAGTTTATTTATTTACTCTCTCGTATATACTACTACGATGTTCTGCATTGGTTGCGTTTTGTTGGCCGGCGGTCGATGCGTCGACGGGCAAACAGATTGCGTGTAATTCCGTTTTTTTTTTTCTTTCGACAAGCGGAATCCGTGCGCGAAACAGACGTCGGAGTTTGCTGCTTTTTTTCTCTTCATTCGGACGAATGTCAGAAAGTCACGTGTGCAAAACAGCCGATCGTATATATTTAGAAAATTCAAAGAAATATCTATCTTGATACTTTTCGAATAATTTGCCGATCACTTTTTATTACAAAAATTTGTAAAAACGCCGCGCGAAATGCGGAAATAAATTAGATTAGAATGATTTTCGCTCGTCGATCGCCTCTAAATTTCGCACACAGATTCCGCGCGTAACACGCTCGTCGGCGCGCGGCAAACGCACCGATCGATATGCTGCGTGTTGCGCCGGATCGAGAACCTCTCTGGCGGTTTCGCTCCTGGACATCGAGCGTATATGCATATGCATGTGCACGGGCGGACGCGCCGTACACGCGTCGGCGCCTCTCAATGGAATCGCCGACGTCGCTCGTCGATTTCCAGGACTAGAAGCCGGACTAATCAAGGTTCTCGAGCCGACAGGGCGACAAGAGCAAGTGCCCTCTATACTCGTCGTCCCGATTGCGGGAAAGAAATCGCGCGCGAATCGACGACGACGCGCGCAAGTGCGCTCGAGCGGGATGAATAAGCTTCGTCCTCTCGAGATCTCGAGAAAAAGCCTTATTAAAATAAAACCGTGACACGGTTCGAGTCATCGAGATGAATCCGCGGTACTTGGATAATTTGACAAATTTTGCCTTCGCGCGCGCAAAGCCGAGATTGAATTATCGCGAATGAACGTGAGAGGCGAATCGAAAGCCAACCGGGCAGCTTCGATCATAAGATTTCCCGTCAAGTATATAAAGAGTACTCGTTTAGTCGTCGGATCGCTCTCGGAGGTAGCGACCCCGTGTCGTGACATTAAATTCTTCGCTCCCGATATTTGAAATTCTTCGGGCTGAAATCGCGAAATTCGTGTAATTTATTCGATTAATCGCCGATCCTTTGACGACGCGATCGAGAAGGCGTTAATAACGTTTCCGTTCGAGTGCACTTTTATCACGTGAAACGAGATTTGTAGCTTTACGCGCGATGAAAATATCCGTGCCGTTCCTTCTCTCTCTCTCTCTTCTTCATAATTTATCCCGTATTCTTCTCGCCTCCGTACACACCGGGGCTTTACGAGATTGCTGCTCTCTGAAGGGCGAGAAATGAGAGAAGAGAGAGAGAGAGTGAGAAAGCGCGGCACGCATTTTCACGTTACGATTGCGCTGACGGATATATTGCTTTACTCCTGTCAGATAGCGTAGCTTAGATACCTTCACTGCGGACAAGACGTCGAATCCGGGGCTGCCCAGCTCGCCTTTCTGTCCTTTGTCGCCGGGTCGACCCTGCGAACAAAAGAGACACTGTGTGTATTACATGGAGCAATCAACGCGATAAACAGACTGAACATCCTTTATGTTATTGTAACTATATTATATGTATCTATCGCGATCAAATATCTCTCGATTTTCAAATGTCCAAATAAATTCCGAGGGAAAAAAATATCGTGATTTTTTTCCCTCTCTTGGAATTTGTGAAACAATTTTTCTCTCCTCTTGTGCAATTATTATTCTGAGGAAATGTCACCATCTCATTTCGGTCAATTAAATATGTTGTAACGGTATGCTGAGATTTCCTTTTGTTTTGCTTTATCTTTTTGTGTATGGAATTACAGACACTTTCAGTTTTAATCAAGAATTTTGCTGCAATTGTTCCGTTTCAGAGATAGCGTAGAATGTAACGGAAGATTCTACAGATTCTACTATTAAAGTAAATGAGATTTTCAGAATAATTTTCCTTATTAAAATTTTCCTTTATATTAATCTACGGGAAAAACGTCTGTGACGCGCATGTGTGAGTTTTCACACGTTTTTCCATCGATTATTCTTTTCAATAATATAATATGCGTAATTAATTTAAATTTCGCATGAATTCTTATTACATTATTGCGATTATCAATGTAAATCCGGCAGAGATCAAAATGTTTGCTATGCAGTTACTATGTAAATACATTGAAGCGCAAAAACAATTTAATATTCGAAACAGAGTACAAATAAAACTGTTATTTTTAATTAGATAAAAATTAGATAAAAATTAAAAAGGATAATTACAAACCATTGAGTTTAAATCGTGTCGTATATTCTTCTTAAAGTAATACCAAGTATTACTGTACTAGGCTCACAATCAGATTTAGTCTGCAGTTATTGTATGAGATATGCGAGAAAGAGAGAAAATCCGAGCGTCGTAAAAAGCCGATTCATTTCTATTCTACTCTAAAGCCGGTTTATTTAGATTTATTTCTCCTCCCTGTATCAATGCGCGCAAGAACTCTATATTATCATGCATATGGAGGCTCCTCACAATACATCATGATGAAGAGGCCGGCGTTAAAACTCCATCTCGCAACAAAATTATATAGGGCTTTCCGATTACTGCGATTCAGCGAGGGTTAAAATTGCGATTTAATATTTCGTCGGGACACCGAGAGGGAGGAAGACCGGGAATTTACAGTGAATGTAAATTTCAAAGAAGGTAAACCCGCGTGTTTGTACGAAATCTCACCGCCGAAGTAACACAGAGTAAACTCCGCGATCCCGAGGCAAATTGCGGCGCTACTTGCTGTAACCTGCGCCGCGAACTATTTGCACGAAATCCGATATAAACGTCGGGATTCGTTATTCGAATCTCGGGGAAAATACCCGGGTCCCGTGTGTGCGGTCGTCCTGTATTGGTCCCCGACGAGTGTGTACACACTCGTTTGCCACACTCGTTTAAAGAAAACGCCGGCCGGACGAGAGAGAGAGAGAGAGAGAGAGAGAAGGAAAGGAGTCGATCGCGCGCATTTCGGATCTCGTTTCTTTTCCCGGCCATCGACAGAACAAATATCCCGCGATATTTGCAATGCACTTATTGCTCCTTCCTTCTCCCTCTCTGTCTTCTCCGCTCGTTTCTCTCTTTTCCATTTCTCTCCTGGGCACGGTCTCCCGCTATCTGTTTACTTTGTCGTTTGTACCTTACCGCCACCGAGACCAGCCACGTCAACGTATCCTCATGTATATTCTCTCTGATTCGTCGAGTACCTGAACGTACACAAGGTGTCCCGAAAATACCGAAAATTATTCCTACCTTCTGTGAATTCTCTTTCGATCCAAGTTCGAATTTTATTGAACGTTATTTTACTCCTTTTAGCATAAAGTGTCTCGTTAGCTGCGTGCCTCAAATTACAATTATATAGACTAAGTAAAAAATAATAATTCATTATCTAGTTGCTCGCATCTGAAAGCACATATTAGCGTGTCGTCAACCTTTTTAATTAATTATAGTCTGCGCTTAAGAGGGAAATGGCAGAAATTCTGCGACATCCTGTGCATCAACCGTAAACGTGTGTGTATGTATAGAGGCTGCTCCACGATAAGGCAAACTAGGCGGCCACAAAGGGTCACCAACGCAAGGGCCTGTCATGCGAAAAGACTTTGCGTGTCACGAGGACCTTGTACAACCGAGAGTCACGCATACACGAGAATCTCGTCGCGTAATCACGAGCCTCGAGCAATGATCTTGCATATATGTCAGAAAGGATCGTAAGCACGGACCGTATACAGAATTTCGATCCCAACAATTGAATCCAATACAACGATAGTTTTCTCATATATTCGCAAATACAGATTTATCACCCTCGAGCATGGGCGTTCGCAGGATTTTGCCAGGGAGGGACACTTTATCTGTTTCTTAATTTTTTAATAAATTTGATTGAAAAGGCTATTAAAAGCAGTAAATATAAAAATTCAAATTATGTTAGAAAGTGAAGTCATATATAAAAATAATATTCTTTAATCTAATGTCTAATAATGAATTACAATAAAAGGTGACAAAAAAGAATTGGACATAATATTGTAATTCATTATTAGACATTAGATTAAAGAATATTATTTTTATATATGACTTCACTTTCTAACATAATTTGAATTTTTATATTTACCGCTCTTAACAGCCTTTTATCAAATTTATTATAATTTAATAAGAGCCTTGACTTACTACGATTTAACTTTTTAAATTGAATTTTTGTATTATTTTGTTCTTTTAATATTTTTATATGAAATAAAACTGAAAATAAATTCCAGTGTTTATTCACGAGGAGAGCAAATGCTTAATTTTGACTGATTTCAAGGAAGGGTCGATGCCCCCTGCGGACGCCCATCGAGACAAGTTTGAGAAAGAGAGAGAAAACAATGACGTTTCGTCATTAATAATAATAAGAATATAAGCGTAACCCAATTTAAATTTATTGACTCATCAAACCAAAGGTTCATTAAAAAATAGACTCCAATGCGTAATATGTCATAATTTTACTTAAAAGAATTTTTTTAATGTTTTTTATATTTACTGAAGAAGGCTGAGGTAACAGTTTATTTTTTTTTATTATCATTGTATTTACTAAGAAATAAATTAATTATGTGTTGACATTACATCTCTCACTAATTTAATATGCTCGTTATAGTTGGCCCTGTCTTTCTAAATCTTAATTTTATAATATTACACGAGCCTTGTCTTTAAATATCTAATTGTATTCTTTATTAAAAATAATAAGAATGATAAGACGGCGGAATAAGGAATGCGGAAGCGTGAATTCGCGTCTGCTCCGATATTCGCATCCCGCTCGTCCGCGCAATCGAGGAGACATCCCGTCATTACCTATGTATGACTGTTATACATTTATGAATGATAAGCAAAACGAGATGACGATGACGACGAGGAGAGGGCGGTTTCGTATATCGTCTCCTATACGATTTACGACTCCACGGCAGCCCGTTCAACTCAGAGAGGAAGGTAGTACGTAATAGCAGGCCAGTTGATAAATAGTTTCGAACGACGAATCGGACTGGAGTTAAAAGATCGTATCCCGTAGAAAATATAGCGATCGAGCCCAGACGAGAATAACCGCTTTCCGGCGAACGGCAGAATTAATAGAGTAAGTGGGCGCAAGTGAGCGAGCAAATCTTCAATTTAAAATCCGATTCATCTTCCGATCCTATTCGGAATACTCTAACCGCGATCAAGAGTACGTACGGAATCGTCTCTTAATAAATCGTGATATATCTACACCTATCGACTATCGTTCGCCAATTAAAAGGAAAATTTGTGCGCTGAACATTTTTTCCGATCAAACTTTTACTTTTTGTGAAAGTTAACCCATCGAGTTTGTCGAAAAAAATTAATAACTTGATTGGGATATTAGCGGTGATATAATTTTTATACACGTCAGTTTTATAATGTAACTCTATTTGCTACGCAAATATATTCATAGATGTGTGAGATTAGCTTTATGTATACGTGGTTGCAATTTTTTTCCAATACTTGCTTAAATTAAAAAACTTTTCTATAGTCACAAAAGTGTGCGACGCCTGTCTACAAGACCACAAATTACAAATTTAATGTGTTCCAGATTTTTCGATCGATACCAACACTGCCAGTATTATGAAAAATACTATCCAATCAATTTATTACTGACAAAGGAATGAAATAATAATAATAATTTTTTATTAGTTGTTTTTTTCGGAAGCATCCGATATAAATGTCAGTGAAAACATCTGCATCGCGATCCCGTAATATTTCATTTGATTTTAAACTTCGATACGTTTTCACTCGTATTTGAGCTGTGCACGTCATAAACCGAGTTTGATAGCGAGACCCAGAGGTACCCGAGTGTATCGCTCATATGATTGATCATCCTGCATTTTTATAGCTAATTCGTTGAACATATGTCAGAAGCAGCGAGCGAACAAAGGGGACGAGCGAAAAGTGCTAGAGCAGAACGAGTCAATTAACAAACACATGAACGTGTTCCGGTTCTCATACCGAGCGCATGTAATCATAGATCGAGATATACTGATCGTATATCTCGAAACACCGGCTAAATATCTTACTCTGATTTTGACTGAAATATGATGCGAAGTAGAGCGAAAAAAAGGGGTTTCGCTCTTTTCGGAACAGCTGTATCTGACGGAAACTCGATATCAAAATTCTCGCTCTCTTGTTTCATTATCTTTACATCTGTCATTTCGCGAACGTTTGATTTCGTTGCGTTCTTGATCACCATTTTTTTTTACGGTCTCACGTCATGCGCGTGACACATGACTGTATACTTTGGAAATATACTCGTTTAATTAAATCTGAAGCTGCATAAAGAGACGCTTTAAATAAATTCATATCTGTGAGACTAATGTGATAGACAGATATTTCCGAAATATCTTACGCGACCTCCTTTTACATTTGTGCAATTAGGGCAAAAAATTGAGATAACACGTTTAATTTAGTAGCTATGGCAAATAAAGGATATCGACAATTTCAGTGAAACGTTAAAACGATATCTACAGTATTTATCGCGAACTGTGATGACCTGTTTTTTAATTTTTAGCTTTTGTTTCTACCCGCGCGTCGTTTCGCATTAAAGCTACAATAAGAGAAAAGGACATTATAAAATTTATTATGATGACACCTTGTGTAAGCATAAATATAATGGGATAAAACAGGTTCTCCTTCGAAGTACATTACGATTGAATCCTTATTCTATATATCAAACGATGCTTTATATTAAAAATATGAAACATATGAAATTGTTGTTTCGCGCTTTGACGACACAATGAATTTCGCACGCTTGTAATCCCGTGACGAAATGAAAATGTAAATTGTAAAGCGAACTTACCGGATCACCTTTGGGTCCGTCCAAGCCGATGGGTCCCTGAAAGAACATCGCCGGTCAGTGCCAGTCGTCGCTTTCACGCGTCCGTAAATGACGAACGAAGAAAAGTGAAAAATTGCGTGCGGGCTGAGCGCGCCCTTGAAAATCTCATTCCTTGTGTATGTAACATGTAATAAACATGGGCGAGCGCGTCAAACCAGAATCGTGATGAGTCGTTATGCTTCCAGGCACGATTAAAGTGCATGATTCCTCTCGATGTATAGCGACATACATTTGATTTTTGCGGCGACGCGAAAGTGTCGCGAGAAAACGCCATTAATAGAAACTTTATTCAGCACACGTGAATTTTTTATTTCGCACGGCTTCGATCTTGATGGGGCAACCGTTTCATATTTGATGCCGGGTCATATCCCCGGATTATACGACGAGACTCGTCGTCATCGTTGTGCTAATTTGTTTCGAATTTCTTTCAACGTCATATATTATATGATTATTTATATGATCACGCGTTGCATACCCAATTTGTTGAATTTGGCTGTGTACAATTTTTCATTGCGCGAATTTAAATTTGAATGTGAAATTTTTAATTACATGAATGTAAACAAAGAGCCAGCATTTTTTAATAATTAATCAGATTGCATACGAATCGCGAATACCAAATTATAATGAAGGATAAATTTCCTGGTAAATGTAATTTGCAAAAAATTGTATTTCTCTGTGCTACCTGATGTAATATAAAAATTGTATCGTAACCAATTTTTTGCTTTTCATATTCCTTTCTTTAATACTCGAAATATTAATTTTTGTAAATAGGTCGCTAATATATACGAGATTTCACTCGGCAATTATAATTGCATCTATATATATATAATAACTTTGTATTTTCAAGTAAATCAAAATTACTGATAGACGACTTAAGATCGTCAGCAATTAAAACGAGGATGTTTGCAACGAAGCGGAGAATGCAATTAATCTACTTCCTCGATATACAGGTTGCACCCTCAGTCATCGAAGCGATGCGCGATGAATCGTATATTGAAATGAAAATATATCGGAGTTCGATTTCTCGAATCTTCGATCGCGCGTATAAATCATGCTCTGATATACGGTAGAAAAGAAACAAAAGTCAACATCTAATTGGACAGCTGTGTCGAGAGCCGGAAGAGGATCCAGGTCAAGAGACAGCTCGCGGATAAAAAAAGCAGGTCAAACGAGCAAGAGTCGCACATCAGCGGCTGCATGATACGTATTAATAGCACTTAATGGTTGTTATGTTCGATATACACAGTGTGGTGAGAGTCGTGATGTTTCAAGAAGGTGACAGCGAGTATAAGAGAGAGGGAGAGAAAGAAAAGAAAGCACGAGGACAAGACAAACAGATAGACAGATGTACACAGAAAGAGAGAAGCTAGGAGTATGTGGAAAGAAAATCAAAAATAATATACCGGAAAACCGTTCTTGCCCGGCGTCCCGGCCACACCCTGTAAGAAGGGGTATAAAAAATTAAAAACTCGTTTACACGAGAGGTGGGGACGTGGGGGATATTTCTCTCGCGCGCATGCAAAAGCGATTATTCCGCGGACCGACCGATCGTGCCTGCGATATTATCGGTTCGTCGCGTATATACATATATATATGTATACCGGTGGTCCCAGCGAACACGGACCCATATACATACATATACACGTATATAGTCCCGTCGCCAATAATTATTCCGGCCAATTAGATATTCCACGGGCGTATAAGCACGCGCGCGCACGCACACGAGAGCGCCGATTTCATCCCTACCTAACTCGCTCTTCCGCCTGGTGTTCCGCCGATCTGATCTTTGATTACGCGACGATGCGCTCGCTCGATCGCGAGGGAAATCGGATCGCGCGCCATTCTGACGGAACACCCACGACGCCGATACATCCAGCCAAGAATCCGCTTCATCAAGGGTGGCGTATAAATTTTTCACGATTAAATTCGACAGCTAATATTTCTCGGCTCTCCCATCCATATTTATGTACGCCTTATTTTTTTTTTTTTCGGAATTTAATTAAATAATTATTATACGTCGATACGTTTGGTAAAAGTAATGAAATTATAGATGAAAATATTTTATCCCCGGCTTTTTAATAAGATAAAAATGTAAGTCTTTTAATCTAAAAAGCTAAACATATATAATTTTCTTACTAATTGATTTTTAATTCCGTGACATGTAAGTTGGCGTGATGTGAAATTAATATTAATTCTTCTCTTTTTCTTTACTCGGAGAGAATTTTCTCTTCGAATTTACCCTGACAATGATAATTGTGGGAAGAATTTTATAAAAGTTTCTCTGATCAATATCTATACCACGATAAAAAAATACGTACATAGTAACTTTTACTATAGTAAAATCAATCGAACATATTTTACATCTTATTGTGGTATTAGTATTTTTTATTATGGTAAATATTAATCAGAGAAACTCTTATAAAGTTATTCCAATACCATGTTGTCCTTTACCATGATTTTCAAGGTATTATAAATTCTAAAAGAAAATTCTCACTGTGTATATATATTCATTACTTTGCATTTTAATCGCCGAGTCATCCGACATCCACATTTCTTATTTACGGGAGACCACTAATAAGAAAATACCAAACTTAGGATAAATAAGGACGTTACTCTTACTAAATTGAATATACGAGTTTCATCATTGATCTAACACGATTACATTGTCCGAAACTTTCGATTGAATTGAAGACACAGCCGCCGAGGGAAGCAACATCCAACAAACTTTGGCTTTTTCGGAAGGAAGAAACATGGAATTCTTCCGAGGAAAAATAAAATTTATGACGTACATCAAACACGGTTAATGTACCGCGTAAAATTTCATTCGCTTTCTAAACGTCGCAAACTTCAGACTCGCCGCTTCTCAGCAGCCCGGGGTGTGTCTTCAATATTTTTGTGCGTGCGCGAATCTCGCGAAAACGCGTATGTTTACGTTAGTCAGCACCACGTGTACTCGTCGGTTTCGGAGTAGTCCGAAGAGAGCAGGAGAGGGGAAAGAGAATATATAACGCGTATACCGTTATGTACCACTTCATGCGTGGAGCTGCTACGCTCCCTAATAAACACACTCGCACACACACGCACACACGCGCACACACACATACACACACAACTGCACGTGCGATATATCGGTGCATTACTCTCTACCGGGGCGCTATATATGTATAGAATAGTATACATATGTGTGTGTGTGTGTGTGTGCGTATATACACACAAACCCACACACATATGTATAGTTACCAGGGGGTACTCACCGGCGCACCGGGTTCTCCGGGATCACCCTTCTTTCCTTTCTTGCCCCTCTTTCCGGGTGGACCTGGCTCACCGGGTGGACCTGAAAAATACGAACAACGAAATTATGAAGTTATGCATAAATACGTATATACATGAAATACTTCTCCAATATCTAGCACTTTCGGTGATATAGGCAACCAAGCATATTTTTAGTCGAACAAAGACAAATGTACTCGTTCAATAAATTAAAGTCGCCAGTGATGATTAAGAAAATATAAAATTTATTCAAATTCGACCCAACTGGCAAATTACAATGTATATATAAATTATATGTCGTAAAGAATTAAACTTAATACCTCCTTAAACAAGTTTTTCGTCCCTTTGATCTAACAATAAGCGAGATATTTTTTTAGGTCAGTCGTTTCATATGTACAAATGAAGAACGGTATTTAAAGTTTTATAATTAAATGCAATTTCTAATGTTTGGTTTGTTTAAAAATATCAGCCCTTTATTGTATAAAACCGTCTAATTGGAATGGTTTGTTTTAATTCTATAAAAGTAAGATACTTTTCGGCAAAAATGGAAATGCCTATTTGCAGTTTCCGGCGCAGGAAATGCAAGTTATAAACAGATTAAAAAAGACATTTTTTATCCTTTACGGCCCATAGAGATAATAAAAGGAGTTTCACTACCGTGAAACGGACACCCTATATAGTTCGAGCGTTAAACGCTAACGAAGCATTACCACCATGGTGGAAATGAGTTTTCGGGACTGTGCGCCCACGAATAAACTTTGCCAGTGGCTATACGGGGTGCTCCGATGCTATTCGACATTTATCTACACATTTATAAATGGCTTCGAAATTGGATTTTTGGGAGAAAATGGTACAATCACGCACGCAGTCGCACAAAAAGCTCACAATTCTCCCTCTCTCCAATTTCTAATCTGCATTTCATCTATCTGGTCCCGTCTATTTATTTGCTTCCGATCTATCTTGACATTCTCGGTCTTACGCTTAATCTAAAGCTCTTTTAATTTTCCACGTTAAGTGGTTTCGTAATCGACGTCCATAATTCGACGTTCGAGATCGCAAATCTATCATTATCTTAACTTCATTCCCGCGGTTGCGTGATGAAAGAGCATCCGGTAACGATGGGACCACCCCGTAGTGCGCGAACGCCGGCGGGTCGAAGTGAATGGGCGAAAGGACCGATAGATTTGACGCGAAATGAAATTACGTCGTCGTTTCTCGTCAGAGTGGTATTTCTCGAAATCGAGGGGAACCGGCATGCGAGCGAAAATCCGGTCGGCCAGCTTCACGGCATGCACCCGTAACGGCGACTAATTTTTTTATTTGACATTGATGTTTTTTTCGTTTTATTTGACGTGACTGCGACACAGTGGACGTTACGTATTATATGTACGTGTGCGTGTATATACACGCCTCTTTTCGGCTACATTACTTGGAAAAACGAAAATCCGTGCTCACCCCGTTTCGACGAGAGCGAATGGAAATATATGGTACATCTATGGCGCAACATTCTCTGTTCCAATGTTCGCGATCTATCATGCTTGAATAATATCGTTTTATAACAAAAAAAAAATTGTAGTTGTGTGTACCAAAAGGTATGAAACTACTTTTGATTAACGAAAAATCGTTACGCGTTAAACTAGCAACTATTACTATATATACCTAAAGCTAGTATTTATATATAGATTGAAGAAAGTACAATGATAATTTTGATTAGGTAAATTTGAGTCTAAATTTTGCACAAAACCAAACTATACGCACATTTTGAAAATAAAAAAACAACGAGCAAAATATTTTGAAAAAATGTTACCGCGCACATTTTGTGTACTTTCTAAACGTTATTTTTCCCTTGTTGATATTCCACAATTCATTAAAAGTACTTTATACTTCTGGCGAAAAAAACTTTATATTTTTTCAGTGATCGAGTTGAAAAATGTTACGAGTCATAACAAACGGATGCATAGTTGGATATGCATTTCCACGATAATACGAACAGTTCGCCCGAGGCGGAATGCAGCTTGTCTCTCTCTCTCTCGCGTTATTCTAATTTCCGGCAAGGACCTACGTGACATTCACGGTCGGGAGATCCCTCGCTCATCCTCCTCCCTTCTATCTCGAAGAACAATTCGATCGTGATTTATTCCCGGGGCTGCTGGCCGCTGGACAAGGGCGCGACAAGAGCGGCTCTCCTTTTATTTTCCATTTATCGCCGCCGGCGAGCAACGCGTAGGGGATGACGTCATATCCTCCGGAGAGGGAAGCCGCGAAACTGCAGCCGCCCGCGGGTGAGAAGTATCCGCGGTGGATGCTAACTTTTGCCAGGTTTTTTACAATTGGAGAGCTTGAAGCAATAACGCGCGAAACTACGCGAGGAAAAAAAAAGTGCGCGAAAAAAAAGCGAGAGTTTTTTCATCAAAAATATCGGTAGATTTATAAACAAATAGAATTCTAATAGCTTTTATTTACGTAGCCACTTATATTTTATTTATACAGGTTTTCCTCTACGAACTCTTTTAATAATACTGATATTTAAATAAAAAGATTGGATTATCAACGCATAAATGAATGAAAAACTATGATATTACACTTGCAATGAATTATGTTTAAAAAAATGTGTAAATACACGTGACAGATTTATATTAACAGATAAAACTTGTTCACATTGTTCCATTTAAAGTGGACCGTATTTCAATAAAATTTTACGGGAGAGTTATACAATAAAAATACTTGAAGCTGAGTTTCAAAAAGATTGTGAAAACGGGAAGCATTTTGTAATTTCAGCTTCATCATAATACAATATTTTACAGATTTTTAAAATCTCGCCTTTTAATATAGAGGAGCGACGCTTTTCTCTCGCGATGATATAAATATGAATGAACCGCGGAATAAATGAATAACCAGCGATTTATTATCGAGTCGAGCGATATTACGATTAATCAGCTTTTATTTATCTCTGTCCATTATTAAACTAATGAAGCACGATCAGGATTGATTGCGCGTTTGGCCGCAAAAATTCGTCGGAATTCGAGAGAGAGAGGGTCACTCGAGCACACTCCATTTAATAGACACGAAACTGTCAGTACGATCACCCGTAGCGAGAACCGCAGCAATTCCGGATAATCCACCCTGACGGTTACACCCGGGACCGTAATCCACGACGTGTGTAGAAATAACGACGTACGTGCCGATCGCGAGCATTTCTCGGCGGCAGCTGGCGAAAACGCGAAACTTCTCGAGAAAGAGAGCGCACCGGTTTTGTATCTCTATCTCCGAACAAAAAGTCAGAGAAGGCAGATGGAATAATCCGGCCGCACGTCGAGAAGCACACGGTCCTTTCGGAGGATTACGACGGCCGAGAGAAACGTGGACAGCTACTGGATATATCCGGCAGACAGTTCTATCAAAATTATATATAAGTGTGAGAGCGAGAGAGAGAGAGATGAGGTGTGCGATGTGTGTGCTAAACTTTTCAATCCGACACGGATTTGCACGAGGATAAACTTGTGAAGGATGCCGTACGTACACGTATATGAATTCATCAGCGATATCAAGCGTATATATATATATATATATATATATATATATATATATATATATATATATACATATAGGCAACGTTTTTACGATATATTTTTGATACGCGAAAGTTTTCAAATATTATTCACTTCGCCGCGCTGACTGATATAATATTATCCTTGATATGAAAGGCAAATTTGCGCCATTTACATACAACAATGAAATAATAAAACAATAAAAAAAAAAAAAAAAAAAGCGCGCTATTCTAGTTGGAAAAATTTGCATGTCACTACCCTCCCTTTAAACTTGGAGGATTGACTTTTTGCATCGTAACGCGGGATCCAAAACCCGCGCGCGATAAGAAGCGACGAGCTGCGGAGTTTGGTAATGCTTCGGTAACGGAGGCAGAAGAAGTGGATGCAGGCGCGAACGGGAGGAAGAAATCGACAGCGGAGCGATCGATCGACGTCGATCGGTATCGGGATAAAAAGAGGCGACACCCTTCAACCCCTATCGCTATTCTCTGGAACGCGCGGCGGTTCTCATCAAACCGCGCAGATGACGGATCCCGTCGTCTCGCTTGCACCCGGAGTACTACTTGTACCTGTACTCGTCGCCGGAATATACTTGGGGTATAACGAGGAAAGTTCGCGTCTGCGGACAATGCCGATCGCTCGCTGCTCGGCAAGAAAAGACCGAAACGAGCTTCGCCGCGACGTGGACGTCATGCCGAGCAGATTACGCTGTGTTGGATGAATTCATAACGGGAGGGAAAAAGAGCGGAATTAAAAACACAAGTTTGCCTTAAGATTTTAATGTTGAATCATTCTATGAAACTTTATTCTACACTGTACAAAATATATGTAAAATTATACATATTTGTTTATAGTGTATAAATTTCAACTCGTTTCTTATTATAATTAATGCCACGCCGCGTTTAATTATGGAAATATTTAATTAGAAATTAAATTTCATTCGGTGACAAACAACTATCCGGTTTCAAAGCTTTTATCGCATTAATGCAAATCGGATAAAATTATAGATATTTAATTGTGAACTTGGACAGATTCTTTTGTTAACGACTCGATAGTTTGTTTACCGTATCATGTAATATTACCTATATATGCAAAGAGAGACAACATATTTTTTACATTTTTCAAAGTATAAGGTTCAGTTGCAGTGCACAATTCGGAAGACCATTTTCCACTCCGATCTCGCTACAGAATGCACCCTTTTCTCGCATTTCGTCTCGGGGTAGTTCGCATACGTGCGATTCCAGCGACATAGCTCGCGGCTCAATTGCTCGGTAATTCGGTATGCCATCTTTTTGCCGGATGATTCGCGCGAATGTACACAAACGAGATCGCGACGCGAAGCAGGAATGACAAAGAGAAACGAGAGGCAAGAAGTGTGAGGCGCATATAGTCTAGACACGACTGAAATACTTCGAGACACACGAAACTGGGAAACTTTCATCTCTCGTACCCGCGGGAATCTTGGTCCGTAATATGTAGAAACACACTTCCTCCCTCTCTCGCACTTTCCCTCCAA